TCTTTTTGCAATCCTTCGAAGGGCCTTTGAGTTTTTTTTTTTTGCAATCCTTCGAAGTTTTTTTTTTTTTTTTTTTTTTTTTTTTTTTTTTTTTTTTTTTTTTTTTTTTTTTTTTTTTCCTAGGTTTTTTGCAGTCCGATTTTCTCCATGCCGACTTCGCCAGTGCATCGTTGATGCATCGGTTCGGCGGCGTGAGCATCCGACCCCAGCTGCTCCAGCCTCATTACTCCAGATCTCGTAAGAAAAGGGAGGGGGTCTGGACCCTCCAAGACGAGCCATTTCAGACCCCCCTTCCCGTGGGAGAACCCTCCAAAACGTCGTCCCCAGACCCCCCCAGGCCCTCCAAGATAGCTGGGAAGAGACCCCCCCCCCCTGAAATGAGACCCCCTCCCTTTAATTACGAAATCTGGAGCAGGCGGCCTCCGGTCTGCAGGCTTCGGGGGTCCTCCTGAGGGCCCCAGGGCTGTCAGAACACGCCCCGGGGCGACGAGGTGCTGGCGGAGACGCGGCTACGCGTACGAGTGACCCTTCGCCTGAGTGACCCTTGGTGCGGGCGGGCCTGCAGGGTTCCCCCTCCCAGCACTGGCGCACGCGCGCGCGCGTGGATTTGGCCCCCCCGCGGCCCCTGAACGGCTCGCACCGGAGGTCGCTCTTGCCCAGGGTCGTTTCTGTGTGCAGCCGAGAGGTGACGTGAGAGATCCCGCGGTGCCTCCAAGGCTCCAGGCCCTTCAGCATGCCTTTCGTGCCAGAGGGGGCCGCCGCATCTTTCTTGCTGTCCAACCGGCGCGATCGATCCGACTGGCGGCGAGTTCCCCGCTCCATTCAGAGTGGAGACGCTGCGGTCAGGAACGTATGCTAAGCGTGTTGCGCCGCAGTTCTGGCCCACCACGCGTCGGCGCGTCACGCTACAGTGGGGGCGTTCGTTAAGGAATGTGCCCAGGAGACCTTCGACCCTGGAGGACTCCTTCTCTGATGAGGGCGGCGGTGGTGACATCCGTGGCCGATCCACCTCGGAGCGCCACCGTCTTCCAGGCCCTGGAGAGGAGGAGGAGGAGGAGGAGGAGAGAGGAGGAGAGGAGGAGGAGGAGGAGGAGGAGGAGGAGGAGGAGGGGAGGAGGTATGGGGGGGGGGGGAGGGAGGAGATGGAGAAGGAGGAGGAGGAGGAGGAGGAGGAGGAGGAGGAGGAGGAGGAGGAGGAGGAGGAGGAGGAGGGAGGAGGGCGAGGAGGGGGCCCCTTCTCCGAGGCTTCCCCGCCCAACGTCCCGGGCCTTTCCCCGCCCCCCGCCCCGCAGAGCCGGGCAAGCACGCCCGCGGGGCGCAGCGTGTCGCCCGGGCCGCCGCCGCGACACGCCGACTAGCCACCCGGCCAGGCGCTGCCCGAGCGAGCCCTCGGGCGTCCAGCTCCTCGCGCGCCCTCGCGGGAGGCGGCGGCCGCAGCGGCGGTGGGCGGTGGGGCGGCCTCGGGAGGCGACGGGTGGCCGCAGCGGCGGGAGGCACGGAGGGAGGGAGGGCCAGTCGGATTGTGTGCGCATCTGGTTCGGCCGTTGGCTGGTCGGGGTGCAGTTCGGCACTCGACTGGCCAACTGAAGAGGGGGCTGCACCCCAGGCAGTGACTCAGCACGCGCGCCAAGGACTTGGTGCCGGCAGGCGCTGCTGCCTCCTTGGCAAGGAAAGCGGCAGTGCACACGGTTGGGGAAGGGAGGGAGGGAGGGAGGGAGGGAGGGGAGGGGCTCGTGACGGAGCACGAGCTTCACTGCCCTGGAAACCTCTTGCAATTTGATCGTCGGTTTGTCAGTCTTCGTCGTTCGTTGCCTCCGTTTCTTCGCCGTTTGTGGCCCACCGGCGCAGTTTTTGGGCCCCAGGACTGTCAGAATCGGAGTCGACCGGCGTGAAAAACTACTCCCAGGGAGGTTTCTCGGACGATTCTTCGACACGAGCGGGAACACATCAGTTCAATTGCTTTTCCAGGAGGGTGTAGATGCGCTCGCGCTAAATCTGACATCCGACCTCTCCACCCTCCCTTCCCATTGCGCCGATTTGTCTCTATCCGCGACCGCTTGTCATGGCGGACCTGGAGATCCCCCACAGACCCCATCGTGTTTTGCGCAGTCGGAAGAGGGGAGCTGCGTACATAAGATGAGGGGGAGAAGGAGGAGGAGGAGAAAAAAGAGGAGGTGGAGGAGAAAGAGGAGGAGGAGGATGTGGGGGAGGAGGAGGAGGAGGAGGAGGAGGAGGAGGTGGAGGAGAAAGCGGAGGAGGAGGATGTGGGGGAGGAGGAGGAGGAGGAGGAGGAGGAGGAGGAGGAGGAGGAGGAGGAGGAGGAAGGAGAATGATGGGGAGGTGGAGGAGGGGAAAAGGGAGGGCGGCAACGATGAGGAAGGATTCGGGTCCAGAAGAGCGGCCCGCGCTGGGGCGGGAGCATCATTCTGAGTGACGGGAGCAAAGCGCCAATCCTAAAATGAGGCCAGGGCTGCAGCGGCATCTCCATTCCGAGACACCGAAAACCTTCCGATGGAACAAAAACATGGGAATCACACGCACACACGCACTCACGAAATCCTGTGTGGTGGGGAGGAGAAGGAGGGGGAGGAGGAGGAGGAGGAGGAGAAGGAGGAGGAGGAGGTGGATGCGGAGGAGAAGGAGGTGGAGGAGGAGGAGGAGGAGGAGGAGGAGGAGGAGGGCGAGGTCTCGTCTTCTTCACGAGCTGCTGCCGCAAGGACTGCAGCAGACGTCCCCCCTCCCCCTCCGCGTCGGCAGCCTGCGCGCGCGCTCGCGGGCGCGCCCGCACGCCCAGGGCGCGGAGGCCGCGGAGGTCTCGAGGCCCCCAACGGCGGCCTCGTCGAGGTCAGCCGCGGGGCTTCCGCGAGGCAGCGGCCGCGGAAGAGGGAGGGGGGGGGACACTTTATGTGCGCTCTCCTTCTCCTCCTCCTCCTCCTCCTCTTCTTCCTCCTCCTCCCCCTCCTCCTCCACTCTTTTCCTCACAAGTAACTCATCCCTGTCGCATCCCGAGGCTGGTCTAAAAGGTGCACCCGGCGTTCCGCATAATATTCCCTCGCCAGTTATGATCCTGACGCTTGGGAGTTGACAGCATTTCACGGGTGGAGTGCGGGCCGCTTGCAAAATGTGGCTCTCGCCTTACAGGGAGTTCAAGCTAACTGGGACGGCATGCCTGGTCTCACCCTGGAGGCGTCGCCTGAGTGATATTCAAAAGCCTAGTTTTACACATGGCAGTGTCTTAGTGGTTGTGCTGGTGGTTGTGCGGATGGTTGTGCTGGTGGTTGCGCTGGCGGTTGTGTCGGCCGTTGTGCTTGTGGTGGTTGCGCTGTTGGCCGTGCTGCTGCTAAGCCTTCTCTCGTGCTGTGTCGGCTTAGTTCTTCACCTAAATCTTCAATTAGAGCTTCACCTCTAAATCGTCACCTGAATCTTCACTTGGATCTTCACTTGCGCGTTCCCGGGTTCAATATTCACCTAATTCGTCATCCGCAACCTATATCATGCTCACACCGTGCTTTCGCTGCTTGGATCATCACCTACGTCTTCACTTTATTCGCATTTTTTGGATGCCAAGTCTCCGCCGGATCTTCGCTTAAATAATTGCTCGCGCTCTCGCTGCATAGTTTTTCAGGTGAATCACTTAGCGCTCGCGCTCTCACTGCTTCACTTTCACTTAATGTGTCATCTGCAGTCTCGCTGTTGAATGTTCAATCGAATTATGGCTTCAACCAACTTCCGCGCCCTCACTGCTTAATTTGCTCACCTGAGGCACCTCATTTGGCACTCGCGCCCTCACAGCTTACATCCCTATCCAACTATTCACTCGTGCCGATGTCTAATTCGCCTCTTACATATCCGTACGGGCTTCGCCCCCTGCCGCCGGCCCCCTCTCTCGGAGAATGGGCCATGGAAGAGCGAAGTCATGAGGCTTTGGCTTTGCCGTGAAGCAGTGTCGGGACCTATTTGTTTTTCGACCCTGACCCTGCCGATCTGCGTGAGGGGTGCCGCCGAATTTCAGACATGTGGCAAATCCCCTCTGCTTTTGGACCCTGACCCGACGGATCTGCGTGAGGAGTGCCACCGAATTTCAGAAATGCGGCAAATCCCATGCGTTTTTGGACCCTGACCCCGCCGATCTGCGTGAGGGGTGCCACCGAATTTCAGAAATGTGGCAAGTCCTTGGAGCGCCTTGTCGGGCCGCTGCGGAAGCGCTCCCGCTCGCGCCGGCTCGCACGGAATGCTTGTCGGGCCGCTCCGGAAGCGCCCCCGCTCGTGCAGGCCCCCACGGAATGCTCGTCGGGCCGCTCCAGGGGCGCTCCGGCTCGAAGGCCGAGCGCTTGGAAGCGCTTGGGCGCGCCTGGGAGCGCCCCTGGGCTTGGTTTTCGGGCCTGCCGACGCCGCGCTCGATTTGGGCAAATTTGGTAGATTCTGGCCGACCCGGCAAAATGTCAGTGGCTCCATAAAAACGACTCACAAACACATTTTCTTTATGATTTGATTTGGTTTTGGGCTCCGGTACGTCCCGGCCCAATTTCGAGCGGCCCGCTCGTGCCAGCTCGTACGGAGTGCTCGTCGGGCCGCTCCGGAGGCGCTCTGGCTCGCAAGGCAAGGAGCGCTTGGGCGCGCCTGGGAGCGCCTGGGAGCGCCTGGGCTTGGATTTCGGGCCTGCCGACGCCGCGCTCGAGTCTGGCAAATGTGGCAGATTCTGGCCGACCCGGCAAAATGTCAGTGGCTCCTCAAAAACGGCTCCCAATACACATTTTCTTTATGATTTGATTTGGTTTTGGGCTCTGGTACGTCCCGGCCCAATTTCGAGCGGCCCGCTCGTGCCAGCTCGCACGGAGTGATCGTCGGGCCGCTCTGGCTCGCACGGAGCGCTTGGGCGCGCCTCGGAGCGAGCGGGAGCGCCTGGGCTTGGATTTCGGGCCTGCCGACGCCGCGCTCGATTTGGGCAAATCTGGCAGATTCTGGCCGACCCGGCAAAATAATTATCAGTGGAACCACAAAAACGGCTCCCAATACACATTTTCTTTATGATTTGATTTGGTTTTGGGCTCCGGTACGTCCCGGCGCAATTTCGGGCGGCCCGCTCGTGCCAGCTCGCACGGAGTGCTCGTCGGGCCGCTCCGGGAGCGCTCCGGCTCGATTCGGGCGACGGATCTGCGTGAGGGGTGCCACAGGATTTCAGAAATGTAGCAAATTCCCATGCGTTTTGGTACCCTGACCCCGCCGATTTGCGTGAGGGGTGCCGCCGAATTTCAGAAATGTGGCAAATATTTTTTGTGTTTTTGGATTGATGGCCCCGCAAGGGGGCTGGCGGATTCACTTAAATCGTGAGTCGCAAGGATCTCCAGCTACATTTTCGCTCGTGCTCTCGTTGCTGAAATCTCCATCTTAATCTTCACCTGCATCTTCACCGCGCTCTCGCTGTTCAAACACGGTCTCGAATCTTCAACTTACTCTACACCAGAGAGCGCCGTCTTGTTCTAAGTCATTGTAGGATTTTGCGTTCAAGCGGTTGGCTCCAGGTACTTCTATAAACGGCTTGTACCAGGCATGTCGAGCCTTGCGCCAACATTGCTTGCGTTCGAATGGCTGCGGATGAAGATGAGGATCATGAGGTTGATGAGGATGATGAGGATGATGAGGATGATGGGGATGATGAGTTACGGGGGCAGGAGAGGATGATCTTGGGTTGTTCTGGGCCTCTTTAGATTTGGTAAGCTACGTATGTGGTGCGAATTGGTGGCGCGGCTTTGCGTGGCGGGGCAGCCTAGGGCCTGGCGGTCCTCTTGGGGGGCGGCGGAGTGTCTGGCGAACATCCGTCATACAGGGGGTGCGGGGAACAAGCCCGTAAACCCTTTGCCGCTGGGGAAGAAGGGCGGCAGCATACCGAATTTGCGGAACCACCTCCTGGGAGTCTTGACGCTTCGCGCTGCGAGGGGCTTCCTCCCAATCCGTATCTCTTCTTCTCCTCCTCCTCCTCCTCCTCCTCCTCCTCCTCCTCCTCCTCCTCCTCCTCCTCCTCCTCCCCCTCCCCCTCCCCTTCCTCACCCTCCTCCTCCTTCTCCTCCTCCTCCTCCTTCTCCTCCTCCCCCTCCCCCTCCTCCTCCTGCCCCCCTCTTTCTCATTCTCCCTTCCACTGCCCAAGAGCAGGGCCGCGACGCGCGCCGGGCGGCTCAGGGGCGAGGCGCGGCGTCGACGTGGGCGTCCTCGTCGTCGCGCTCCGCCTGCAGACTCGTCGTCGCAGTTTTCCCCCAATCGTCACCTACATCTTGACGTTGACCTCCACCCAATTAAGTGTCAGAGTCTTTCCCTACATCTTAGTTTGATATTCGCCGCAATCGCCACCCAACTCTTCACCACGGCTTCACCTAAACTTTCGTGTGAAACACCAACCGAATCTTCATCTGCCTGAATCTCCCCGTAAATCTCCACCCACATCTGGGTCCAAGCCTCCCTGAATCTTCATTCACATTTTCACGTAATTCGTCACTTACTCTTACCTGGGATCTTCATTTGGATTTTCACCCAAATCGTCACGTAAAGCTTCAATGTTCGTCTACATCCTCGCCTAACACTTCACCTGCATCTGGGCTTGAATCTTCGCCTGATATCTTCATACAACCCTTCCCCTAAGTCGTCGTATACATCTTCGTTTGAACCTCAAGTTTAAGTTTCATTGGCATCGCCACCTGCAGTTCCACTTCAACTATCATTTAAATCTTCGTCTAAGTCTCCACCTCAGTCTTCATCAAGACCTTCCTCTCGATCGTCACCTATGTATTCGTGTCGGTCGTCACTTACAGCTACCTCATAATATTCACATCTTTCCTTAACCATCTGCGTGAAGTTTTAGACGAGTATTTGCATAGTTCACTCGCGAACGGGGGTGCAATGAGGGCGGGCGTCGTGGGAGTGCAGCGAGGCGCGTACTTGTCGTGGCCATTTTGGGTCCAGTCGCGCCCGCTCTGATTCAGGGGGGGTCCTTTATTTTTTTCCTCTGCCAGGCACCGCTCACACCTACCGCGGGGGGAATGTCGGATCCGTTGTTGCCACCCGCCGGCTTGGCAGTCGGCCTCGACCTCGGCGGTTCGGGGGGCGCCATTGCAAAGGCGATGGCCGCGGCGCCCGCGAGGCCTGCTCCGCCGTGGGGGGCCAGTGGGTGAGACGCCCCGTGAGCCTGCACCAGCATCCAGTGCTGCCCCGGGAGGGGTTTCTGGGCACACCCTGGTTCAGCCCCGGGCGTCGGCCCCTGGCGGCACGTCCGGAGGTGTGTGCGTCGCTGTGGCCGTTCAGACGCTGGGCTTCAATGTAGATGCCTTCCGCGACTTGGTCACGCGTGTGGGAGGTGGTGAGGACACCACTTTGGCGGGCCTGTTCGGCGTCCTCGAGTCCGACCTTGAGACTGCCATTGCAGACGCGAAGAGGTGAGGCGGCCAACCGTTCACAGGTACTGGGAGCGGCCGTCTGGTACGGCAGCTGGGAGAATTTTGGGCACTGGGTGGCTACGAACTTCCGCCGATGAGCCCCTTCACTCTGCAGCGCCCGGCGCCAGCAGCAAGGGAAGAACAGCCGGCGTCGACGGGTGTCCGCGGCTGGGAGCTCAGCACTGTGATCATCCAGGGCGACTGGCCGGAAGACCGCATGCTCGGTAAGGCCACGCTCAAGGAGATCGACGAAGTTTTCGCGGCCACCAACGGCGGCCCCACAGCAGACTACGAGGACACGTCCCTGGAGCAGACATCCGCCTGGGCCTTCTTGTTGGCGCAGGACGAGGCCCCCTACACCGACTTCGGCATCTGGGGCCCCTTCGGGAGGCGGACCGCCAAGTTCCTCAGCTTCCGCGCCCAGGTCTTCATCGCGGGCGAGTGGGTGACCAAGGTCGTCCATGGCCCGCCGGATTTCACGGCGTGGCGCCGCGGCTGGAGGGTCTTCCGCACGGCAGCCCTGAAGCTCGGCCTCAGCGTGGCCGGCCCGCTCGATGCCTACGAAGATGGCGTGCGCACCGTCGCGAAGTCGTTCCCAGACAAATGGGGGCTGATCTGCGTGGTAGAGGACCACATGCGATCAGAGCGCTGGGAACGTGTGCGGGTCCTCGAACGTTGCGTCACCGCGGGCACCCTGAACCAGTGCTGGGGCCCCGACAAGCCATGGGAAACAGTCTTGGCTTACAGCGCATACGGGACTGGCCAGGAGGGGCAGTGGCGCCACCGTCAAGGCAGCCGCGAGCCAGGTTGCCGACGTCGAGGGCACGACGGGCCTCGAGCATACCGGGCTTGGCGCCGGCGTAGTCCAGGGGCCGTTGTCGGGGGGCCGCTCGGCTGGCAGGGGCCGCCCCGGGCCCGCGCAGGGGGGCCCGACCGCCCTTGCAAGCACAGGTCACCTCTGACAGGTGGTTGGAGGCGCAGGTGACCCGCTTCCAGAACTTCAAGGAGAAGGGCACCCGTCCCGACAGCCGCCGCGTCGTCGACGAAGACGGCGCGGAGCTGTGCTTCGCCTGGAACCGCAACCGCGATGGATGCGCCGCTGGGGCGTGCCCGCAGCGCCGCAGTCATCGATGCGAGTGGTGTTTGGCCCCGCGCTGGGCCGTCGACCCATCCTGCCCGAAGCACCCGGCCGCTTGGAAGTCCCCTGAGAAGGGCGGGGGCCGGGGTGCTCGCAGGGGCGGCCGGTCCTCCTCCTTCTCCTCCTCCTCCTCCTCCTCCTCCTCCTCCTCTTCACTCCTCCTCCTACTTCCTCCTCCTCCTCCTCTTCCTCCTCCTCCTCCTCGTCGTCCTCTTCCTCCTACCTCTGAACCCCTTCCTGCCTCCTATCTCTTCCTCTCCTCCTCCTCCCCTCCTCCCTCCTCCGCTCCTCCCCCTCCTCCTCCTCCTCCCTCCGCCTCTTCATCCTCTTCCCTCCTCCTCCTTGTCCTCCTCCTCCTCCTTACATCCTCCTCCTCCTCCTCCTCCTCCTCCTTTTCCTCTTCCTCCTCCTCCTCGTCCTTTTCCTCACTCCTCCTCCTTCTCACTCCTCCTACCTCTCGTCGGAGTTTTTTTGTTTGTGGGTCAGGGCTCGGGCCTCTGGCTTTCGTTCGGGGCGATCCAGGCAGTCGTGGAACGCTCTCGGCGAGTCACCGCCGCTGGGAAGCATCCCCGGGCTGGAAAACCTCCAGGGACCAACGAGAACTTCCGAAAACGCGCGAACACCTCGAACCTCGAGCCTCGAATGGGAAGAGGGAAGAGGGAGGAGGGAGGGAGGGAGGGGGAGGGAGGGAGGGAGGGATGGAGGGAGGGAGATATTGGACTGGTTCTTTAGAGCAGGGTGCGGTGGCCTCATGCTTGGCCGCTTTTCCGACGGGGGGGCGACCGTGCGCGACCCCACGGCGACCCAGCCAGAGCCCGCTTGGCACTCTAGGGTGGGGGGGATAGGAGAGGATGGAGTGAGGGAGAGAGGGAGGGAGGAAGGGAGAGAGGGAGGGAGGGGGGGAGGGAGGGGGGGGGGGAGAGGGCGGGATAGAGGGAGGAAAAGGGACGAGGAGGAGGAGGAGAAGGAAAGGGAGGAGGAGAGGGATGAGGAGGATGAGGAGGAGGAAGCAGGAGGAGGAGGAGGAGGCGAGGGAGGAGGAGGAGGCATATTGATGATGCTGCTGATGATGCTGATGATGATGATGCTGATGATGATTCTGATGCTGCTGATGATGATGATGTTGATGATGATAATGATAATGATGATGATGATGATGACGATGATGATGATGTTGATGCTGATGCTGATGCTGATGATTATGATGAGGATGATGATGCTGATGATGATGATGTTGTTGATGCTGATGATGATGCTGCTGATGCTGATGATGATGAGGGATGAGGAGGATGAGGAGGCGAGGAGGAGGATGAGGAGGAGGAGGATGAGGGGGAAGAGGAGGAGGAGGAGGAGGAGGAGGAGGAGGAGGAGGAAGAGAGGAGGCATGGGGAGGCAGCAGGAGGAGGAGGAAGCAGGAGGAGGAGGCGGAGGAAGAGGAGTGAGGAGGAAGGCGGCGGAGGAGGAGGAGGAGAAGGAGGAGGAGGAACAGGAGGAGGAGGAGGCGGCGGAAATGATAATTCTAAGGATGACGATGATGCTGATGCCGACGCCGCTGCTGATGATTATGATGCTGCTGCTGATGATGATGACGATGCTGTTGATGACGATGCTGATGATGTTGATGCTGATGATGTTGATGCTGCTGACGACGACGATGCTGATGCTCATGATGATGATGCTGCTGATGATGATGATGCTAATGATGAGTATGATGAGGATGCTGATACTGCTGATGATGATGAGTATGTTGATACTGACAATGATGTTGCTGATGATGATGATGATGCTGATGATGATGATGCTGATGATGATGATGATGCTGATGATGATGATGATGCTGATGATGCTGCTGCTGATGATGCTGATGCTGATGCGGATGATGAGGCTGATGATAATTCTGAATATGGTGGGGATGGCGCGGAGGAGGAGGAGGCGAGGGAGGAGGAGGAGGACGCAGGAGGACGCAGGAAGAGGGGGGGATGGGGGAGCGGAGGATGTTGAGGACTGATGATGAGGCGGAAGCAGGAGGAGGATGCTGATGGTGATGAGGAGGAGGACGAGGAGGATTAGGGATATGAGGAGGATGAGGAGGAGAACGAGGAGGAGGAGGAGGAGGAGGAGGAGGAGGAGGAGGAGTGATGAGGAGAAGGATGAGGAGGATGAGGATGAGGAGGTCGCGGAGGAGGACGATGATGATGCCGATGTTGTTGTTGTTGATGATGATGATGATGATTGTGGTGATGATGATGATGATGATGCTGACGATGCAGTTGCTGATGCTGATGCTGATGATGAGGATGATGCTGATGCTGATGCTGATGATGATGCTGACGCTGACAATGATGATGATGCTTACGATGACGCTGATGATGATGCTGATGAGGATGCTGATGGTGGTGATGATGATGAGGAAGGTGATGTTGATGCTGATGATGATGCTGCTGATGATGATGCTGCTGATGATGCTGATGTTGATGATGATGATGATGCTAATGCTGATCATGATGATGATGATGATGATGCTGATGCTGATGATGATGCTGCTTACGATGACGCTGAGGATGATGATGATACTGATGATGGTGATGGTGATGATGATGGTGCTGTTGATGCTGCTGATGATGATGCTGCTGATGATGATGACGATGCTGTTGATAATGATGTTGCTGGTGCTGATGGTGTCGGTGATGATGCTGATGCTGATGGTGATGACGACGATGATGACGATGATGATGATGATGATGCTGATGCTGCTGATGATGATGATGATGCTGCTGCTGATGATGATGATGATGATGATGTTGATGGTGATGTTGATGATGCTGATGCTGCTGATGCTGATGCTGATGATGCTGATGATGATGACGATGCTGATGATGCTGATGATGATGATGATGATGATGATGCTGATGCTGATGATGATGCTGCTGCTGAGGCTGCTGCTGCTGCTGCTGATGATGAGGATGATGATGATGATGATGATGATGATGATGATGATGATGATGATGATGATGATGCTGATACGGATGCTGATGCTGATGAGG